GGGGGGGGGGGGGGGGGGGGGGGGGGGGGGGGGGGGGGGGTGGCAGGTGCCCGGGACCCGAGAGCATGCATACATGCATGGATCTTGGGGCTCGGACTTCCATTTCGGTTTAGGGCTTGAAGACTTGCAGCTCCACACCGGTCCATACCCTAAAGCCTAGTCGTGGACAACCGGGCCATAGGATTAAGCCCAAGCGCATTACTTGAACCTTAGGGTTGGCACTCCTACTCCCAAAACGTCGGACGAGATTGATTTCAAGTACTTACCCACAGGGTCCTAAGCCGAATTAACCAAAGGGCGATGCTAGTTCCGATTATAGAAACCCTACTTTCTATTTTGTAGCTCCTTATGACCCCTAAACCCTAAACCCTATAAACCCTTTGGGTACATCTTTCGGACAAAGAGGCTCGTCCAGCTCTCTGGAAATCCTGCTGTATTGATACAGGTTGCGCATCCGCCCACGTAGTGCCCTTTGCTTGGATTAGGGTTTTGGATCTCGGGTTTAGCGTTTGGTGTTGGGGAATTAAGGTGGATCCTGTTCTCCGAGAATGGCAGTCTTGTGCATCTGCATTGCATCATCGGGCAGCACGCCCAAAGGTTGAGGCTAATTAACGCGTTCGCTGTATCTCCAAGTCTACAACTACGTAATTCGACCTACTTTGGGCTATTTGGAGTGTTGTGGTGTTGCGGTTGTGCATGACGGGACTCAAGGTGCTGCTAGGGTTAGCTACTTCAGGGAACGCGCAGGGGGATTCCAGTTGAGAAGTTGTTTAGGGTCGTACTCTTCGGGTTTGGATGGTTAGAGGATGTTAAGGCCTCACATTTGTCAGAAAGCCTGCGAACAAAAAGATCTGACGGACGGATAGCAACGGAAATGACAAGTCGGAGACACAAGTCGATAAAGAGATAAAATAGATAAATAACCGCTGCTGTACGAACTTACTAGGTAGGAGAGGGGTTTGGGGCCAGCTTGGGGCCGAGTATACGATAATCAATGAAGGGACGTTTTTGCAAGCGCAGGTCCAAGACCGAACGGATGTACGGAGGGCATACTGGTACCGGTCTACGTGTCCACGCACTCCCTTGTCGTTGGACTTTCAGTCTGCATCGCTACCGCAACACCAATCCATACTTCCGCAGAGACACAGCCGCGGTGCTTCGTGCAGGAATCTGAAGACCTTTCTTGCGCTTGGGGCCCTATGCAACAGAACGTCTTAGTATTCGTGTAGAGGCTTGTGGCAAGACAGCTGCCTTCATGACCAGAATAGGGTCTCAATTTAAGGCCTCAAGGTGCACGAGACAACAAAGGAGCCTTAGGAAGAACGTTCTCAATTATTCAGGCTTCTATCTTGCCAGACAACCGGGAAAGGGATTCTGAAATCTGCGGAGCCAAGGAGCTGGAATCCCACGGATCAACTCTTCGCGTGTGGCACGCATCTGAGAGATGAACTCGACGGAAGCGTCAATCAGCTCACCTCGGTTCTACCTTAACCCACCAAAACCCACGTTTTTGTAGGTTCTTATCATAAACCCTAATATGGGACTTATAGGGACCCTACGAAAAAAGTAGGTTCTGGTGGGTTAGGGTAGGTTGGCTTCGGTCGAACGTTCGGGTTTCAAAACTCCTGGCACACGTGGGCCAAGGCTTTCCTGCGTATGTATGCATCTGTGGTAAGATCGAAGAATCAGAGAAGCGAACCTATCACAGCCTGCCCAAGCCCCGAAGCCAAGGATAAACCCAAAACCCGGAACCCATCCTACTCCCAAAACCCAGAACCCGTGGAAGCAGGTGGCTGAGGTTATCGGTTGCCGATGTATCCTTTGCAGCATCCACAGCTGGCTGGGGAGGAGGATGCTCGCTGGGAACCTCAGGGTTCAGGGGTTTTGGGTTTANNGGTTTAGGGCTTTAGGGTTGAGGCTGTCACAGGGCTGAGGGTACTTTTGGTTTTGTAGGGCATGTGGCTTTAGGGTCCAGGGTGGTTTAGAGTTCAGGAGTTTGGGTCGTTGTAGGGGCCACGAACTACTGTTGATGATAAAAATCTGCATTACATTAAGGATACCATCGACCGTAGGAACAAAGTTGTAACAAAGGGTTTCGTTCAGAGATCAGGGGCTTCCAGCAATTTAGATACACACATACATGTACAATACATACATACATGCATACAT